CACATTGAGCTGAAAAAGGGAAAATAGTCTTGGAAGATGGGACAATAAGTTGGGTTAAATCACAAAAACAAACTACACGACCTTTCAGTGAACTTAATAAAAAACTGTGTGTGTGTGTGTGTGTGTGTGTGTGTGTGTGTGTGTGTGTGTGTGTATATATATATATATATTGCCAGTCACCTACAATATAGATAATGTTCCTGAGGTGACACATTCTTTTAATATACGCTTCTATGTTAAAAATGGCAATCCTGTGACAGCTGGACTAATCAATTAATTTTTTTTTACAATTGTGTTGTTTGTCTCCGATATTATTTATTTATTATTTATTTATTTATTTTGTATGCTTATATACCGCAATATCTCAGCCTACAACGACGACTCATTGCGGTTAACAGTACTTATTATTAGAAATGGGTGTCTCTTCTCCCTTTTACAGGAAAATTCTTAGCAGACAACATCGTAGGATCTGTGCTTGTATTCTCCTTACTATTTTGGATTCCTCTAAGTATCCTTGTGCACTGTGTGGTAAGTTTACATTTAACGCCAATTGAACATATGGTACACCTTCAGGTGTACATTTACATGCATTTGGTCAGAAATTCAAAGTAGTGTTGAACACATTAAACTATTCAGCTGGAGAACCCAGTGGTGAAATGGGTTAAACCCTTGTGCTGGCTGAACTGCTGACCGAAAGATCGGCAGTTTGAATCGGCAGTGGGGTGAGCTTCAGTTTGTCAGCTCCAGCTTCCCATGCAGGGACATGAGAGAAGTCTCCTATAGGCTGCTAAAACATCCGAGTATCCCCTGGGCAACATCCTTGCAGATGGCCAATTCTCTCACACCAGAAGCGACTTGCAGTTTATCAAGTCACTCCTGACATTAAAAAAAAAGCTGGAGAACAACGTTGAATTTCGTTTGCTACTTGGCTCTCTGTTTGTTTGAGATTCCCCTCTCTACCCTACCTCAGATCTGGACAGTTTGGGTTTCTAGAACGTTGCTGGCTTTCAAGTAACATCTTTACCGCTTCCTAGATGAAACATTTAAAGATAATTTCTTATGGCCCTATTAAAAACAAAGGCTAAGATTATGTTTGCTTACTGTATTAAAGCTCCAGTGATAGGCTTAACATGAATCATATAACATGAATCCAGATCACTCCAGTGGCCAAAAGGGAATGGAGGTAGCAGTGTCATCCGAAGGCAGTCAGACTTGTGGCCATGTGCTGCCTGCCCTTTAGTTCCTCAGCAGTTAAATGAAGAACCACTTGTGGTGATCTCCTTATATTTCTTGATGTAAGAGTGCAGCCATGGATTATCTTAATATAATGCCCCAAAAGGATTCCAGAGAACTCTGTGATATTTTTGGAAGCAAAGAGAAATGTGTATGTATGCTTCATTAATTGATGAAGAACTGATTTAGCAGGAATGCTTTGTTTATTTGTGCAAAGAACTACTTGTGTGAATGGCTTGCAGATTCTGATGATTTCCATAGACTTAGGTGCTGTTGCCCTAGTATCACAATACTTCTCACAAGCTGTTCTCCATTTGGGTAAGAGGTATGTTTCATAAAATGTAGTTCAGTGATGGAGCAGTAGATATGTATTATGCAGCAAGCTCCTTCAACAACTGATGTATTATTATTCCTTTTTTAATAGGACCAGAAGCTGGATAGACAGTATGAAGAGAACAACAAAAATTTGTTTGGTCCCAGTGTAAGTTGTTGCACATGCAGAGGAATGTTTTCAGTATTTGTTTAGAATACATACTCCAAAAAAGCATTGTAAATGCTTCTAAGTACAGGCAGTCCCCAAGTTATGAATAAGATAGATTCTGTATGTTTGTTCTTAAGTTGAATTTGTATGTAAATCAGAACAAGTACATTTTTTAAGTGTAACTCCAGCCAAATCTATTTATAGCTTTGGATACCATAGGGAAGAATTAAGAACCCTGTGGTGCTTGTTCTGCTGGCTCTGCTCCTGTTCAGAAAATTTAACTTCACTTTCTGTCCCTGTGGACAGAATGTGACAACTGGATTTTGAAAAAAAAATGGCTTGTTGTTGAAACAAGGATTGGTGAGAAGACTTCAGTGGAGACACCTTTTTCTCATGGTAACTCAGGAGTGAATTTCCCTTCTGAGAGATAGATTTCTCTCACTTCCTGTTGTCTCACTCCCATTCTTAACTAGGAGTCATTTGTAATTTGGATGTTGTATCTGCGGGATTGCCTGTATGGAAAAGTTGGTCTGGTGTTTTACATGAAGAACCTTTCTGTAAATTAATCTTTCTTGAATTTAATATTTTTTTTCTTATAAACCAGTCCCAGCCCATTGAGGAAGTGTGTCCTATTCCCGAAATTAATTGAGTGATTTGCTTAAGTCCTGTTTTTCTGACATCATTTTTTGCAGAATGTGGAGATGCTGAGCAGCATGGACTCGGCCTCTATTCGCATCATCAAGCCCAACCCCGTCATGCCCTCTACCAGTCGGCACCAGCCCTTGCAGCCCCTTGTCCCGGCTCCTGTCCTCCCCGTGCCTCCTAAACTGGATCACCAGAGGATGGATACGATCCAAGAGGATCCGAGTACCGACTCTCATGTCGGGGAGGAAGAGGAGGGTGCTTTTGAGAAAGACCCCTTCCCAAACAACAGCACTACGGCCAAGTCCTTTGAGGATCTGACAGACCATCCTATCACCCGGAGTGAGAAAGCATCGTCTTTCAAGCTGCAGCGCCAACATCGAGTGGACAGCAAGGAAACTGAGTGCTAGCCCTGGCTGCCCACTGAGCCCTTGACTGATGTGCACAATCACGTTGGCCGATTGACCCCATGTCATTTCAGTAGACAGATCATTTATTTGTATGTTTGTGTGTTTGTATATATGTATGTGTATGCGGAAATGAAAAACGGGGAAGTGACTTACTGCAGATGCTGGCCATGTGTATGATCTTCCTTGGTTTCGATATAAATGATGCCTAAAAACATATCCAAGTCAAGTCTCAAATTCACTGAGCCCTTTGGAATATTATTCTATAACCTGGATAAGCATAAATCCACCTGTTTATAATGTGCCTTGGGCAACACTGCTGAGACAGTGTTTTCCTTTATTTGATAAAAATCCAAAAAAAGGTGAACCATCTTTTTGTATTTGAGCATTCAGAATTTAGAGTGTATAGTTAAAGCAATCAGTATTTTCTTTTTTAAAGTGATGGACATTTTGATATAATGGAAACTTAACAAAGGTAGTGGGATCTGAATGAAACCTAAAGAGAGCAATAAATGACTTAAAATCTGCATCTCAGGGCTGGAATGTTTTTTGTGGTCATTTGAAGCAAGGCTTTTTCATCGCACAGTATTTTCCCTGCAATCCAGTGGATACCTGAGCAACCCGAAATTTCATTTATTTTTTTAGCAAGTCTTAGCTGTGCCGTACCACTCCACTGGCATCTTTTAATAAGTGGATTATAATATATATAATTTCCACTTCTTCAGCTCTGCTGAAAGATATTATTCCAGCAGTTAAATAAACACTTAACTTCCCAAACAAGAGGAGTAAAAGTGTGATGTTCATCATGGCTTTCATAGTATAAATCAAAATATATCAAACTTTGTAAATTTTTCATTTGAAAGAGTATAGATGTGAATTGTACAGAGCATATGCTTGCTTGAGCTGAAGTCTGCTTAGCTTTGCAATAATGATTGTTTCAGTGAAGAATAACATGGGAATTCTGCTTGTTGGATTATATATATTTTTAAGGAGGGAGACAGTTCTGATTGATTTTTAGGGACCGAAAAGTAGTTTTTTTCTATTCTTCCCTTTTATGGGGTGAGGGGATGATCTGACATGGGGCAAATCTGTTCTCTAGATTGGCTCCAAAGATTATTGAAATAAATGGGCCACAACAGTGCCAGAAGGGTTGCTTTACTTCTGTTTCAGTAGCCATGATCATGTCTTACATTACATTTGATTAGCATTAAGTAATGTTGATAGCCGTATCTGATGAAACAGCTCCTCTTATTACAAAAAACCTGTATTCTTCCATATCTATTGGAGATATACCAAACCTGTGACAAATGTGCATTTTTTCATGGATGCTTGTTACATGAATACTTGAATTCTGTGCCTTCTTGCTATTTGTACCTATAGACTGGTAATGTTTAGATTTCATACCTATCAGTAAACTTTGTGCAAGGAGTGGAAGCACTCACTGCAGTATATTAAAATGTTTTTATACGTATGTGTACAAGTGTGTCCTTTGACAGCTCATTAAGAATTTCCAAGTGGGAATTTGCAGTCACTGCTTAAGGAGAAAGCTGGTCTCGGACACACTAGTGTTCATAGAGATCCCATTTAAAGGAATATAGTCAGTCCTCTGTACCTGCATATTTAACCAACCATAGATCTGATCGCCCCTTGGCTTGCTCTTCGGCATCCACGTTTTGTGGCTAAGGGAGAGCCAGAAACATGGTAGCAGGGTCCATGTCACTTCTGCCTGGTTTGCAGCACCCAGTCAGCAGAACTGTTGCTCAGGCCTTACAACATGCAATCCAGCTCATGCCTGGTGTGATTGCCATGTAGTTTCTATTTAAATACAGCACTTCAAGATCCATAGATTTTGACATTTGTGGAGTGGGGGTGAATGGGTACAACTAATCTTCCATGCTAGATGGAATTGAGGCCGGAGGTTTAGCACAGCTGGTAAATCATCAGCAATTGTAAGATCTATCAACCAAAAGGTTGCAAGTTCGAAACCCCAGGTTGGCGTGAGCTGCCAACTATCAGCCTAGCTCATTCTTTACCTAAACAATGTGAAAACAGCTTCCGCCCCTCACTCTGGAATCAGAAGGCTGGATGAATTTATAGGATGCAAGAACACTAAATGTCTGAACGTTTAGTGGAGGCTTCCCCCATCTGTGAAACCTCCAGCGATATGCAAACTTCAGTTGCCATGATCCCTAACCAACATCACCCATCATTGCTATGTGAATAGTAGTGTCATGAGACAGTGTTAATGACTTTAATAATAAAAAAACCCAAAATGTTCTATATGTGTACAGACACTCCTGCTATCTGTAAAGGAGCGCCAGTGTGTGCTGCTCTTCTCAGTCATGAGGGTTCCCCTGGAAGGTAGATTCAGGATTGAGATGATCCACATCACGCCAATAAGGAAGATGCACCAGGAGTGCAGAGGCCTTTTTTTCCAGGAGTGACCAAAGCTGGCTTGCCAGGAAGTTATTTCCTTCACTTGATAAATGGAGCCCATCAGAGAGATAGTGACTAAAATCCTAAAATGGAGAATTAAAAAGCACATTATGAACTATTCTTCACGAATAGGAGGGGGTGGTGGTGGTGGTGATGTTTTTCATTGTCAAAATCCTTCCAACCAGACCACTCATCAGATATTTCCTCTGTATCTTTAACCACGAGGATAATTTTCTTAGTTTGCCTTCACTGCTTTTTTTATCCATTTCATATAAACCATCCATTTATTTTTAATTCCTCTTATTTTACCCTTCTGCGTATCGTCCTGAATTAAACATACTATAATGTCAGATTGAACCTGATTGTAAAGGTAATTATTCCAGTTTTCCATAGTTCATTTTTTCATATTTCTAACTTTATGCTATCACTGCCTGTCCTGCTAAAATCATGGTTTTAAACCATTGCTCTTTCATGTTAATCTTGTTGCCTAATGCTCTCATTAGCATCCAATCTGTATTCACTTGGAAGTGATATTTTGAATAGTTTTTTCGATTTTCTTCAGTATGTTTTCTTCACTATTCTACTAGTAGGGCCCCTTGCTGACACAGCGGGTTAAACCGCTGAGCTGCTGAACTTTATGACCGAAAGGTTGGCGGCTGGGGTGAGCTCCCGCTGGTAGCCCCAGCTTCTGCCAACATGTAGATGTTAGTAGATCAATAGGTACCGCTCCAGTTGAAAGATAACAGCGCTCCATGCAGCCATGCCAACCACATGACCTTGGAGGTGTCTACGGATAACGCCGGCTCTTCACCTTAGAAATGGAGATGAGCACCACCCCTCAGAGTCAGACACGACTAGACTTAATGTCAGGGGAACCCTTTACTTTACCTTTACTATTCTACTAGTATTCATTCCATTTATATCCTACTTTTCTCCTAGCACAGGACCAAAGGCATAATGCTGAAACACTGGTTACACTGGTTGATTGTTGAAAGTGTACTATGATTTTTTAAATCTCCCTCCAATTGAAGGAATGAGCATCTCAGACCCCATCTACACTTACTATGCAGCTCATAGCTAGCTTCAAACTATGGTGGCCAGATAACAAATTCCCACCAAAGTAAATGGAAAAAAGCCCTTAATGTGCATTGGTGTTTTGTGACTTGTGTCATCACCACTCCCAGAGAGCCCACCTGGTTATTTTTCTGCATCAGCGTCCACAAATCAATGATAGAAGTGCCGCAGTCTTCAGCCACTTTAACACAGGCCTTGGCATATTCCCCAGTGATAGAGTTGCGCCTGTTCAGTTTGTCACCTGAATATAATAAGTAAAAGAAGAAAATGTGAGCAACCAAATTAAAGTTGGAAGAAAACTCAGGACATAGTGAAATGTGTTTTGGGATTTCCTTTTGTGCTAAAGTAATTAAAAAAATATTTTAATCCAAAATAAGGGCTAGATCTCAATTACCTTTGGCAATGCATTCTTTCTCCCAAGCTGCTTCATGCAGCGGTGGTGGCGTCACCAGAATAATTTTATCCTCTCCAATGTCCACAGATTTGAGGTACTGGACCATGCTTCTCAAATTGCTGGTATATTCTTCTAGTGGGACGTGTTGTTTTGGATTCACATCTATTAAAAAAAACCAGTTTAACCAAAGTGAGATTCTAATATTAGCGTCCTACATCGTAACTAGGCATGAATATGGATGCACACCCATAGTATCAAAAGAAGAAAGGAATAAAATAATCACACTGGACAAATGTTACATTAAATAAATATTAAAATTGTTTTTAATTGATGACACAAGTATTTTGTCTCATCAAGTTTCTAGTCCTCAATGAGTAGCTAGACGAGAGAGAGAGGGCTAAACTGAGGGATTCCTTCCCCCACATTCCTATGCATGTTTCCCAAAAGGGATTTGTCTCTCCTCTTTACTGCTAGCCGCTGTCTCCTTCTCCTTTGATCACATAGTAATGGGATTCTGTGAACAAACTTCCTCTTAAGTTTAAACTGCCCTGGGTTGACCATGCGGTCTCCACCATTTTAGGGCCTTCTGTTTTTCTTTTCTCCCAATGAGGATGCCCATTTTGCCTCTCTCTAGGCAAGATGTAGCTGCATGGATATTTTACCTTCTTTAGAAGATGAGATTTAGGAAGCTAGTTAGCTCCAATATCTTTTCAATCAAGAATATATTTCTTTTACTTCAAGAAATATTTTTGAACCTAAAGTTCTGACTCTGCAATCCTGTGCCATCCTAAAGAACAGAAGCTTATCCCAGCTCATCACATGTAAGTTTCTGCTGGTTAAGGAGTTTACTCCTGGTGTTGTTGTTGTTCATTCGTTCAGTCATTTCCGACTCTTCGTGACCTCATGGACCAGCCCACGCCGGAGCTCCCTGTTGGCCATCACCACCCCCAGCTCTTGTTACTCTGATATATTTTTCGTGGAATTGCCCCAACTTAAGGTTATTTTTGAGCCTAACAGCTCAGATTCCCCAAGAAAAATAATCTGTGTGGCCACAATTCGCACACAAGATAGGCCTATCTCTCACCTGAACGCACATATTTAGGCTGAAATAATAGGGATAAGAAATGGGAAGTGTATAAGGACCTTCCATGTGATTTCCCTCAGTTTAATTATTGCATTGCTTTTTGCTTAATAAACTGGAGTCAAAACATGGCAGCTTTTCCAAATACTTTCCAAAGACAGCTCTTTTTACTCTTGCACACAATTGGCCTGACCTTACATTTGTCAACAGAAGGTGGTGCAGTGGGTTAAACTGCTGAACTTGCTGACCAAAAAGTTGGCAGTTCAAATCCAGGGAGCGGGATGAGCTCCTGATGTTAGCCCCAGGTTTTGGCTACCTAATAGTTAGAAAACATGCAAATGTGAGTAGATCAATAGGTACCGCTTCTGCGGGAAGGTAATGGCACTTCATGCAGTCATGTTGGCCACATGACCTTGGTGGTGTCTACGGACAACGGCAGCTCTTTGGCTTAGAAATGGAAATTAACACCTTCCCCCAGAGTCAGACTCGACTAGACTTAATATCAGGGGAAACCTTTACCTTTACATTCTTCAAACAAAGGTTAGTCCATACATGGAGGCACTGCTTGAAACCTTAATAATGTTTGATATTGATTTCCTTAGTTCATCTAACTCATTTTACTTGTGATACTTTCAGCTGACATTAGTGTTTAGGCTTTCAAGAATCTGACATAACATGATAACACAAATTGTAATAAAAATGAAATTGTAATAAAAATAAAAACTATGCAAGAATAAAAAACCAATAAAATAAAATAATAATACGCTATAAAAATACACTATACCTTTTAATGCACAGTCATTGGCTCCAAAGAAAATTGTTACGGCAATGGTATTCTTAGCATTGGAATCTTTACAGACCAGTCTTGGAAGGACAATTTTTGCCCATCGTGTGTTGTAGCCAGAGAGTCCACGGTTCACGACGTCACACTTTCTGAAATGAATACATATTTTTATCTCAAAAATCTCCACCTATAATTCTCTATTCTAAAACATTAGAAGCTGTTCTGGTGCCTTTTTGTTCTAGTGCAAATTGTATGTTCTCTCTAGAAAGTGTCAATGAACTGGAAAAGAATTTAAATCCTAAATGTTGCTGCAGAAATCTTTCTCATTTCTGCTTTAAACTTTGTAAGCTGCAAACTGAATCTTTCCTCTTTGCAGTGGGCTCTATTTTGGCACTCAAAAAATTGCACAGAACTTTCTCACAGGAAACTTTTTCACGCAACGCAACGTGAAAATGTCACGCAACGATCTCTTTAAAACTAAAATACTTTGGTTGATATTGAAAAAGAGAAGAATGGAGATTTCCAGCCTATGTCTATAACAGAAACAGAAAGGATAACAACACTGAGGTTTTGGATATTGTGTCTCAAAATGACTGCGTTGGTTCTTAGACACTGTCAGGTAACGATTCTTCAGAGAAATTTATTTGAAAACGAATGAACCAGACATTTTGAGAATACCTTACCTGGCTAATCTGTGAGCAAGTGATGCCCCCCATCCATTTTCTTGGAAGGAAAACTAGAAAGAAGATAATAAACACGGAACTAAGATTTCCAGTCAGAGTAATATAGATTATAGTTGCAATGCCTTACCCAGCTAATATAGGAACAAGTGGTTCTTACAGCATTATAGTTCTCAAAAGTTGTGGGAGTTGTAGTTGCTGGGATTTATAGTTCACCTACAATCAAAGAGCATTCTGAACTCTACCAACAATGGAATTAAATCAAACTTGGCACACAGAACTCCCAGGGCTAGATGAACCAGTGAGAGACACCACAGTTTCCACGGTTTCCACCTGCAATCCAGCACAGCACAGAATGACATTGTATTGTCAAAGCCTTTCATCACTGGTTTGCTGTGAGATTTCTGGGCTGTATTGCCATATTCCAGAAGCATTCTCTCCTGACGTTTTGTCCACATCTATGGCAGGCATCCTCAGAAGTTGTGAGGTTTGTTGGAAACTAGGAAAGTGGGGTTTACATATCTGGGGAATGTCCAGGGTGGGAGAAAGAACAGGGGCAAATGTTGCAATTGGCCACCTTGATTAGCATTTAATGGCGTTGCAACTTCAAGGTCTGGCTGCTTGCTGTGCTGGGGCAATCCTTGATGCTGCAAGGCCATTCAGTGCTAATCAAGGTGGCCAATTGCAACATTCACACCTGCCTCAAGCAGCAAGAGTTCTTTCTCCCACCCTGGACATTCCACAGATATATTCCAGACAAGAATCAATCAGGGCCAGCTAACACCTCCCAACAAATGTTTCCCCAGGCAGGAAGCAGCCAGACCTTGAAACTGCAAGGCTATTCAGTGCTAATCAAGGTGGGCAATTGTAACATTCACATTTGCCTTAAGCAGACAAGAGTTCTTTCTTCCACCCTGGATATCCCAAAGATATATTCCAGACAAGAATCAATCAGGGCCAGTTAACACCTCCCAACATAGGATTCCACAAGCAGTAAGCAGCCAGACCTTTAAGCTGCAAGTACATTAAATGCCAATCAAAGTGGCCAATTGCGTTTTTATCTAGGAGATGAAAATGATTTGTTTTTACTAACTGTTATGGTCTTATATGATATGTCAATGTTTTTAAATGTTTTAAATGTTTTTATGATGTTGTTGGGCATTGTATTGTTGCCTTGTGAACCGCCTCAAGTCGCCCGCAGGCTGAGAGGGGTGGTATAGAACTATAGCAAATAAATAAATAAATAAATAAATAATTGCACCATTCACACTTGCCTCAAGCAGACAAGAGTTCTTTCTCCCACCCTGGACATTATTCCAGATATCTTCCAGGCAAGAATCAATTAGGGCCAGCTAACACCTCGCAACAAAGGATCCCCAGGCAGTAAGCAGCCAGGCTTTGAAGCTGCAAGGCCATTCAATGTTAATCAAGGCAGCCAATTGGGTTGTTGTAGGTTTTTTCGGGTTATATGGCCATGTTCTAGAGGCATTTTCTCCTGTTGTTTCGCCTGCATCTATGGCAAGCATCCTCAGAGGTAGTGAGGTCTGTTGGAACTAGGAAAAATGGGTTTATATATCTGTGGAATGACCAGGGTGAAACAAAGGACTTTTGTCTGCTGGAGCTAGATGTGAATGTTTCAACTGACCACCTTGATTAGCATACAATGGCCTGACTATGCCTGGGGCAAACTTTTGTTGAGAGGTAATTAGATGTCCCTGCCTGCTTCCTCTCTGTTGTTGTGCTGTTGCAATTTTAGAGTTTTTTAATACTGGTAGCCAGATTTTGTTCATTTTCATGGTTTCCTCCTTTTTGTTGAAATTGTCCACATGCTTGTGGATTTTCAATGGCTTCTCTGTGTAGTCTGACATGGTGGTTGTGAGAGTGGTCCAGCATTTCTGTGTTTTCAAATAAAATGCTGTGTCCAGGTTGGTTGGCCAATTGCCACATTCACAAGAGTCCTTTCTCCCACCCTGGACATTATTCCACATATATATAAACCTCACTGGCCTAGTTTCCAACAGACTTCACGACCTCTGAGGATGGCTGCTATAGATGTGGGCGAAACGTCAGGAGAGAATGCTTCTGGAAAACTCACAGCAACCCAGAATGGCATTCTTTGAAGATCCCCCTCTGGAGTCTTCAATGGGCGGGAAGAGAAGGGAAAGGAAGGAGGGTTGGCATAAGGATGGCGGGGAAGGAACTTCGGGCGGGCTACCTCGGTGATGGAGTCCCCCAGGAGGAGCAGCCGGGGCCAGAGGAGAGGCCAGCCCCGGGAACCGGCCTCCGACGCCGCCATGGGCCCACAAAGAGGAGGAGGAGCTCTGCCTTCCTCAGTCCCTTCCTCCTCACTGTGGAAGAAGGAGGAGGAGGAGCCATGCAGAGCGAGGGAGGAAATGCTGGGCGGGAAAGGAACTATATTGTTTGCCACTGCCATGGCTCAGGACTCTGGAACCACGGGAGCTTCTGTTTGACAAGGCTTTGAGCCTTCTCTTCTTTACTCAGTTTGGTCCCTTACCAAACCACAACTCCCATTATTCCCTAGCATGGAGCCAGGGAATAAGTTCATTCATAGTCTCTTCTGACCTCTTCCCTGGCCTTCATTCTCAAGGAAAAGGAGGCACCCTTGACTGAGCACAAGAGGGTCTGTTACTGGCATAGGCAATCTTATTTATTTATTTAAAACCTTTATATTCTTCCCTTCTCACCCCAAAGGGGACTCAGCATATACACAGCAAACATTCAATGCCAGGACACAAATTCACATACAATACATAAACATTAAAAAACATTTATCAAAATATTAAAATACACCATTTAAAACCATCCTAGTAATCCGCGTCAAATCTAATTGCCCTGGTCATTTTTCCTATTGCCCTGAAAGCTTGGTCCCACAGCCAAGTTTTTACCATCCTTCTAAAGGACAGGAGAGAGGGGGCCGACCTGATCTCACAAGGAAGGGAGTTCCATAGCCGGGGAGCAATCACCAAGAAGGCCCTGTCTCTTGTCCCCACCAATCGCGCCTGTGACAATGGCAGGACGGAAAGCAGGGCCTCCCCGGAGGATCTTAATCTCTGCGATGGTTCATAGGGGGAGATGCAGGTTTATGCAATCTTGGACCCTCCAGGTGTTTTGGACTCCAACTACCACCATTCCTAACAGCCTCAGGCCCCTTCCTTTTCCCCGATCATTTCACCTGGGGAACTTCCTCGTTTTCAGAGTGCTGCTCCCCACCTTGTGTCCTGATTTTAGAGTTTTCCAATACCGCTAGCCGGATTTTGTTCACCTTCACGGCCTCCTCCCTTCTGTTGAAACTGTCCCCATTCCTGTGGACCTCACGCAACCCAAACATCCATGAATCTGGACTAAACCTGACATTCATACCCAACATCAGCATCTTTGAAATCTGGTGGGTTTGAAAGGAACTTGACAGGAATCCCATCCTTCCACAGTTCTATAGCTCAATACTTAAAAAAAAATACTTTTAATTACTGGGAGAGGGAGAGCCAGACAATTATGCCCTCGTATATCACTTCTCTCCCATCCTGCAATATGTAGCACACAACATTGTGCAACAGGGACCTTCGCCAAAGGTCCTGTGCATATGCCACTTTGCCACTTCTGTGTGATAAAAGTTCCTAATACAAATAACAACAGCATTAAGTAAGATTGCAGAAATCCGATAGCCATGGGTTGTTTAACTTTTCAAGTCTACTTCAGGAAATAAAGCCCGACTGCTCACTGGAGGGAAGAATAGTAGAGGCCAAGATGAAGTACTTTGGCCACATCATGAGAAGAAAGGAAAGCTTAGAGAAGACAATTATGCTGGGGATAATGGAAGGAAAAAGGAAGAGGGGCCGACCAAGGGAAAGATGGATGGATGTGACTGGACTGACCTTGAAGGAGCTGGGGGTGGTGATGGCCGACAGGGAGCTCTGGCGTAGGCTGGTCCATGAGGTCACGAAGAGTCGGAAACGAATGAACAACAACAAAACTTTTAAAGTCAGTGAGCCTATTTGTTCTGAAACACTATGGGATCGCCTCATAAACCGAAAGCATCACAACAGAATGATGGCTCCAAAGAGTGTGATGTTATCCAAATGCAGTATGTCCTCGAAAAAATTAGACTGGCAGATTTAAAAAATGCACAATTCTTAGCAACCTCTAGATGTCACTCAAGGCTGACATGCTGCAAGCAAAAATGTTAGAAGATTTGTGTGCAACCACTTGTTTTGGGTTTTCCATTAAAGACACCAATATAAAAAAATGTTCAGGCTTTTAATCTAGTTTACTTCTTTGGAGCTTACAGAAAAATAACAAAATCACTAGAACATTGGTCCTAGTGATCTTTCAAAATACACGACTTTTTAATGTTTGCTAAATGGGTGCTTTCTAGAGCCTAAAAACCCCAAAGGCACCAGATCCCATCTGGTCTTGAGAGCTAAGCGGGGTCAAACACAGTGTTTAGATGGGAGGCCACCAATAAATACAGCTGTATGCTACATTTCAAAGAAAGGAACTAGCAGAATTACCTTTTAGGATTCCTTGTCTAAGAAATCCCTACAAAATTCATGGAGCCACCATAGGACAACAAATGACTTGAAAGTGTGTGTGCGCACGTATGTGTGTGTGTGTGTTTATTTCAAGTGATGGCTGTGTAGTTTGGTTTGGCTAGCTAGATGGACGTTTGACATACTATAGCTTTAAGAGAACGGAAAACGTTTAGCTTTTTTCTTCCTCGTCTTTCCTTGGGCAATCGTGGGAACAAAGCCAGTATAATTTGGTAATATTTTCTCAATTTCTGTTATAATAAGGAGCACAGGTACGAAAGTACTAGCCTCTTCTCTGTGTTCCCTGCTTTCACACCCGGGGACCTTCCACACAGCCCTATATCCCAGAATATCAAGGCAGAAAATCCCACATTATCTGAGTGTGGACTCAGGTAACCCAGTTCAAAGCAGATATTGTGGGAGTTTCTGCCTTCATATTCTGGGATATAGGGCTGTGTGGAAGGGCCCGTAGTTAACTCGAGAAGAGGAAGTGGGGATAATGCAAAATTTTGTCCTTCCCAAGAGGTTCAGGCAAAAGCAAACCGCTGCAGTTTTTCCACAGCCTGCGAAGAAACTATTGGATACCAAACCATCAGCGCTGCCTCCGGAAAAATCCTGCAAATCTCTTGGGAAGACAAGCGGACAAATGTCAGCGTGCTGGAAGAAGCAAAGACCACCAACATTGAAGCGATGGTCCTCCACTATCAACTCCGCTGGATTGGCTGCGTTGTCTGGATGCCCGACCACCGTCTCCCAAAGCGGTTGCTCTACTCCGAACTCAAGAATGGAAAACGGAATGTTTGTGGACAGGAAAAGAGATTTAAAGATGGGCTCAAAGCCAACCTTAAAATCTCTGGCATAGACACTGAGAACTGGGAAGCCCTGGCCCTTGAGCGCTCCAGTTGGAGGTCAGCTGTGACCAGCAGTGCTGCAGAATTGAAAGAGGCACAAATAGAGGGCGAAAGAGAGAAAAGTGTCAAGAGGAAGGCGCGTCAAGCCAACCCGACCGGGACCGCCTTCCACCTGGAAACCAATGCCCTCACTGCGGAAGAAGATGCAGAGCAAGAATAGGGCTCCACAGCCACATACGGACCCTAGAAGATTATCCTACTCGGACAACGAGGGATCACCTAAGTAAGTAAGTAAGTAAAAGCATTTTTTCCTAATTTGTTTCAATCCCCTTTGAACTCCAGCAATGGTGGGTCTGCATCCCACTTGGCACACAGGGTCCCCGTGATTGTTATTTTAGACTACATCTCCCATCATACTTGCTACCCACACACTGGCTATGATGGCTATCCGGGATGGGATCTGCAGTGTAATCATACCCGGAAGACTCACACATTTCCCACTCCTGCTGCAATACAACTAAAAATGACATACAGACGGAATGAATTTTTCTCTTTTAACATGGCTAGAAACAAAATGTGCAGAATTTAATTTACTATTTGATGGAGTTGCTCTGCTGTAGGGTGAGGTCGATTCTTCCTAATCCCTCAAGAAGAAGAGAAATATACCGGCATATTACGTCAGTTCTTTTTATAGATATGTATTTCCCCATTTTTAGTGCATTACTGGCAGTCTGGCTCACCCTGGAACTATAAAGCTTGCAATGAAAGAACAGGCTCAACTGGAGACAGATCTTGTATTGTATTGTCGAAGGCTTTCATGGCCGGAATCACTGGGTTGTTGTAGGTTTTTTTGGGCTATATGGCCATGTTCTAGAGGCATTCTCTCCTGATGTTTCGCCTGCATCTATGGCAAGCATCCTCAGAGGTTGTGAGGAAAAACCTACAACAACCCAAAAAGAATATTACTTTCAGCTGCAAAGCACTGCAGTGGAAGTCATCTATGGACCTTTCCACACAGCCAGATAACCCAGAATATCAAGACAGAAAATCCCACAATATCTGCTTTGGACTGGGTTACCTGAGTCCACACTGCAATATATTCCAGTTCAAAGCAGATAATGTGGGATTTTCCTCAGCTGTGTGGAAGGAGCCTATGTAAGCAACTGCAGGAAGCAAAGATTAAAGAATCAGAAAATGTTTATTTCCTCTTGCTTTTAAGTCACATATGGATAATATTGTTATCTCCTTAGTGATTAATGTCTTTAAACTACTAGTGGCTAAACATCAGTTAAAGGATTTCACTCTAAAGCTCCCTAAAAGACCACTGAGCAATTGAGAAAGTAGATAAACTTATAAATACAGATCTCATCACTGGGTGCATCTACATTGTAGAATTAATGCAGCTTGACACCACTTGAATCACCATGCCATAATGCTTATGGAGTCATGAGAACTGTTATTCTGCAGGATCTGTAGTGTTCTCAGCCAAAGAAATGTTGGTGCCTTACCAAACAATGCTCGAGTGGCGTCAAGATGCATTAATTCTACAATATATAGACACACCCAATGTGCACCAGCGCCTCTTGTTTGGACATCCCTTTGCTGTCAGAGACCCTCTACTTAATTTTCTTACATATATAGATTAACCTTAAGAATTTGGAAACCTCCAGAGGAGACTCTGAGGTTTTCTGCACTGCCCTATATCCTAGGATCCGATCCCAGATTATCTGCTTTGAACTGGATTACGTGGGATTTTTTTTCCGTATCAGGAACAATTTGAGAAACTGCAAGTTGCTTCTGGTGTAAGAGAATTGGCCACCTGCTAGGACATTTCCCAGGGGACACCTGGATGTTTTACCATCCTTGTGGGAAGCTTCTCTCATATCCCCGCATGGGGAGCTGGAGCTGACAGAGGGAGCTCATCCACACTCTCACCAGATTCAAACCTGTGACCTATCGGTTTTCAGTCCTGTTGGCACAAGGGTTTAACTCATTGCATCCTGGGGGCTCCTAAGTAAATTGTCCTGGCCTGATTCCTGCCCCTTCTCCTTTAAACTGACAGAAGCATCATTCAGTCATGTTCTACTTGCTGGCTGAATGGATCTCCTTCTCCTCATTCAGCAAAATTGATCAGAAGATAGGAGGAAGGAGAAGAAGGGGGAGGAGGGAGGAAGAAGAGGAAGAGGAAGAAGGAAGGAAGGGAAAGGGAGCCAAGGAAGGAGAAAAAGAAGGAGAGAAGGGAGGAGAAGAGAAGAGGAGAGAAGGAAAGGAGGGAAAGAGAAGAGAAGAAGGAAGGAGGAAGGAAAGAGGAGAAGAGGAAGAAGAAAGAAGGAAGAGGATGAGGAAGGGAAGAAGAAGAAGGAAGAGGAAGGAAGAAAGGGAAAAAGGAGGGAAGAAAAGGAAAGGGAGAGGGAAGAGGGAAGAAAAAGAAGAAAGGAGGAAAAGGAAAAAGGAGAAGAGGAAGAAGAAAAAGGAAAAGAAGGTGTAAGAGGAGGAAGAAAAGAATAGAAGGGAGAAGAAAAAGAAAGAAGAGGTGGAGAAGGAGGAAGAAGTGGAAGAAGAGGAAGAGGACGAAGAAAAGGAGAAGGAAGAAAAAGAAGGAAGAAAAGGACCTGGAAACAAAGAGAAAAAAGAGGAAGACAAAAAGGAAGAAGAAAAAGAAGGAGAGAGAGAAGGGGAAAAAAAAGAAGAAGAGGAGAGGAGAGAAAAAAGAAAACAGAAAAGAAAGAAATGAAGAAAGAGGAAGAAGAAGGAGGAAGAAGAAATAAAATAGTAGTGTTGCTGAGAGTGCCTTGGACCGCCAGAAGATCCAACCAGTCCATACTTCAGGAAATAAAGCCCGACTGGTCGTTGGAGGGAAGGATATGAGGGGCAAAGATGAAGTACTTTGGCCACATCATGAGAAGAAAGGAAAGCTTAAACAAGACAATTATGTTGGGGAAAATGGAGGGAAAAAGGAAGAGGGGTCAACCAAGGGCAAGATGGATGGATGGCATCCTTGAAGTGACTGGGCTGACCTTGAAGGAGCTGACGGCCGACAGGGAGCTCTGGCGTGGGCTGGTCCATGAGGTCACGAAGAGTCGGAGACGACTGAACGAATGAACAACAAATTGCTGTTATTATTATGATTATCCTCATCATCAACCAGCGACTGGGAGCAGATCGCCTTTGGCGTGCGGCAAAAAAAAGGGCAGCTTGCCAGCTGTAGGGGAGAGTGAATCCACACTGTAGAACTGAAACACTTTGGTCCCACTTAGCTCAACGTTATGGAATCCTGTGGGGGGGGGGGGGGGGGGGGTGGGGGGGGGGGGGGGGGGGGGGGGGGGGGGGGGGGGGGGGAAGGGAGGAATCCTGGGAAGTGGTGTTTGGGGGAAGACCTGCCTCTTTCCCCGCCCTGGCGGTGCCTCTCCAAGGGGGCCACTCCCTTCTCCGCCTGTTGGAGTGCGCCTGGCCACGTGGCCCTCCTCCTCCTCCTCCTCCTCCCAGGAAGGCGGGCCTCCCTTGCAAGCCTGCCCTGGCTGCTGGCTGCTCCTTGGGCGGCGTCTTGTTGGCCGCGGAGCCGCGATGGGCGCGCTGTTGCTGGACGTGGCCAACTGGAGCACCTTCCTGGCCTGCCTGGTGCTCAAGGTGCCCCAGGGCCTGGCCCTCCTCGCCGCCAAGTCCGCCCGGGGAGTCAGCCTCGAGAGCCTCCTCCTCGAGCTGGCCGGGTAAGGAAGCAGGCACTGCCAGCATCCCACAGCAGCACTCAAGTCAGCCTCCAGTTCAAATCCGGGGAGAGCATGAGTGAGCTCCCTCTGCCAGCTCCGGCTTCTCATGCGGGGACATGAGAGAAGCCTCTTACAGGGATGGTAAAAACATCAAAACATCCCTAGGCAACGTCCTTGCAGATGGCCAATTTTCTCATACCAGAAGCGACTTGCACTTTCTCAAGTAGCTCCTGACATGAAAAACAATCTTATGAGGATGCCTGCCATAGATGCAGGCGAAACGTCAGGAGAGAATGCTTCTACAACATGGCCATCTAGCCTGAAAAACCTACAACAAGCTACTATAGGTTTGTCCATAAGTTGAATTTGTGTGTAAGTCAAAACAGGTACATTTTAAAAGTGTAACTCCAGACATATATCTATAATGAGGTTTTTTTTTCTGTGTCCACAGTGACGATAAACCCCAAGTCACTTCTGGTGTGAGAGAATTGGCCGTCTGCAAGGACATTGCCCAGGGGACACTGTGTAGTCTGACATGGTGGTTGTCAGAGTTTCTGTCCAGCATTTCTGTGTTCAGAGTCCAGTATTTCTGTGTTCTCAAATAATATGTTGTGTCCAGGTTGGTTCATCTGGTGCTTTGCTATGGTTGACTTCTCTGATTTCTCTTCACACATTTTCTCTCTCTAGTGTATTACGGAGCAGATCGCAACTCTCTAAATTTTCTTTCCTTTTACTGTCCCTCTCAGGCTTGTGGTTCTCCAGGTTTATGCCTTTACCGTCACTCCCACAATCCCCCCACCGTTGGCTGGGCTAGCTTGGAATGATGGGAGTTGTATTCCCTCAAAAGAAACTTCTGGAGAACTACGACCTGTCCCTCCTGCATCAGCGTCAGAGTGAAAACTGGCAAGGAGGCAGAGTTTGCGTTTGTTTTTTCCCTTTCCTGCCCACTCATGAATCACTTTTGGTGGAACAAGTGTGCAATACAACTAAGCCAACTGCAATATAACTTGACATCATGCCACATAAATGTGACTGTATACTGTAGTTTGGTTTTTTAAAAATTGCTTATTTTATGATGTAGCGCAGCGGGTTAAACTGCTGATCCTCTGAAGATGCCAGCACAGATGCAGGAAAAATGTCAGGAGAGAATGCTTCTAGAACACAGCCGCATAGCATGGAAACCAAACAACATCCCTGCAAAACCTTAGAGTGGCCATAAATTGGAAGTGACTTCAAGTCACAGAATCTCAAAAGGAAGCTGACAAAACGGATGGGAACAAAACACACCCATGTTTTTGTATTTGTTTTTAACTTGAGGTGATCCACCTTGAATCCCATGGTGGAAAAAAGTGGGCTATTCAGAAATTAATATAAGGAAAGAAAATCGACTTGTATCTTCCCTTCCTTTCTTATTCCACTTGCTAACTGCATTGCCAGGCCAGGCCCCAAATCTTGCATGACTTTCCTTCCTCTGACATCCACAGGTTGGATGTGGATATCTGCAAAGGAAAGGCTTTAATTCCTTGATGTTTAATGTGACTTGGAATCAGGTGATGGACAGAACTGCATCTTATGTCGAAAGTTTTTTGCACCTAGGCAAGCTCATCTCAAACTTTTTTATTCTGGAGAAATCCTTGAAATACTTAGTTTTCCGGTTTCAGGGATTCCATAAAATGTACTGCTCAGAAAAGCTTTTCAGCAAATCCTAGAGTCATAGCAAATATTGGTTGAGAAACTCTGGTCTAGACTTTGCTGCTCATGTTCTCACTGAATATGGATGTTGGCAATAGGAAGATTGTGAGAAACAGGCCTATGTGAAGGCTTTCATGGCCGGAATCACTAGGTTGTTGTGAGTTTTCCGGGCTGGATGACCATGTTCCAGAAGCATTCTCTGCTGACATCTCGCCTGCATCTCTGGCAATCATCCTCAGAGGTTGTTTCCAACAGACCTCACAACCTCTGAGGATATACTGTGATAGATGCAGGTGAAACGTCAGGAGAGAATGCTTCTAGAACATGGCCATATAGCCCGAAAGACCTACAACAACCCAGTAGGCAGGCCTGTTTCTTATTAATTTGAATATTGCATGTTGCTGTGCAAGTTTCCAGAACTGCAGCTTCAGAAATGATTAATTTTTGACAAAGTTTAACAACTTGACTAGTTGTTGTGTAACTGAAGAATTCCTCGTGGAGTAGCTGCCCAATTCTTGTTCAGCAAGTCTGGTTCCTCCATTTATTTAACAATTCAAATACTGTTTCTGACTTTCAGTGCTCAAACTATTGCACCATGTGGGATATAAGTAGTGAAAGTCGGGGCCTTGTGTTAATAGATGCGTTGTTGTGTGCCATTGGATAGATTTTGTAGTGAGGTGTTCTCTGCAACACAATCTCAAGAACTGGATTATTCTTCTTCTCTTTTTCTCAATAAAAATAGACAATATATCCCCCTGGTTAAATCGCTGAGCTCCTGAACTTGCTGACCCAAAGGTTGGAGGTTTGAATTTGGGGAAAGGGGTGGGCTCCTGCTGTTAGCCCCAGCTTCTGCCAACTTAGCAGTTCAAAAACATGCAAATGTGAGGAGATCAATAAGTACCACTCCAGCGAGAAGGCAACAGCGTACTATGCAGTCATGCCAGACACATGACCTTGGAGGCGTCTACGGCATCTATGGCTTAGAAATGGAGATGAGCACCACCCTCCAGGGTCGGACACAACTAGACCTTACCATTACCTTATATATGTTACTAGCTGTACCCGCCATGCATTGCTGTGGCCAACCGTACCTCCCTCTTTCTCACCTTCTTTCTTTCTCTCCTTCCCTCTCCCTCTTTCCTTCCTTCCCTCTTTTTCTTCCCTTCTTTCTTTCTTCTCTACCTGTTTCTTTTCTCACTTCCTTTGCTCTTTGGTTCCATTCTTCCTTGTCTCTTTCCTTCCTTCCCTCCCTCTTTCTTTTCATTCCTTCTCTCCTTCCTTCCCTCTCACTTTTTTATTACCTTCTCTCCTTCCTTCTCTACCTTTCTTTCCTTCTCTCCTTTCCCTCTTTCTTTCCTCCTTCTCTCCTCTTCCTTCCTTCCTTCCCCCTTCTGTGTATGTATTTTGTGTGTATTGTGTGTATATATTTGTGTATACATGTGTGTTTGCTTTTATATATGTGGTTTTGTACATGCGTTGCAATGTTTAGGGGTTTTTTTGTTTTTGGCTTTTTAAGTCTCTTCTGCTGTGTTTTTCAGTGTTTTTATGAGTGATGGTCACTTGTTGGCCTGATAGGTGTATTGTGTCCAAATTTGGTGTCAATTCGTCCAGTGGTTTTTGAGTTATGTTAATCCCACAAATGAACATTACATTTTTTATTTATATTATGCTTTTAACTGTGTTTTAGATGGTAAATTTTGCTGTATGTTGGGCTTGGTCCTCATGTAAGCCAGCCCGAGTCCCTTTGGGGAGATGATGGCGGGGTGTAAAAATAAAGTTAGTATATTATTACTTTGCATTTTGAATTCAGATTGCAAAATCTAAAGTAACTCACACAAATGAACATTACATTTTTATTTATATAGACTAGCCGTCCCCTGCCATGCGTTGCTGTGGCCCAGTCTGTGTATATGTGTTTTGTGTGTGTATATATGTGTATATTTGTGTTTATGTGTGTTTGCATATATGTGTGTGTGTGTGTGTGTGGTTTTGTGCATCCGTTGTAATGTAATTTTTGTTTTTTGGCTTTTAAAGTCTCTTCTGCTGTGTTTTTCAGTGTTTTTATGAGTGATGGTCACTTGTTGGCCTGATAGGTGTATTGTGTCCAAATTTGGTGTCAATTCGTCCAGTGGTTTTTGAGTTATGTTAAGCCCACAAATGAACATTACATTTTTATTTATATAGATATATTTATACTCCGCTTTATTTCCCCAAAGGGAACTCGAAGCAGCTTGACATAAAAGCATTAGTATACAGTTTAAACTATACAAACATACAAACATTAAAACAGAATTAAACAAACAGCACTAAAGAATTCACAATTAAAATCCATCAAAAACATACTCAAATTTAAAAACCACAGCACAGTGTAGATGCACCCTTGGCCGTCTGATGTCCAAATAGATCGCATGTTCCCATTTGAATGTGCTTAAGACAGTGACTGAAGCTACACCTTTCCTTTCAGCTTCCTTGTATGCCTGCGGTACATGAGCTACTACAGCCATCCCCTGCCAACGTATGTGGAGTATCCCATCATCATTGTGCAAGGTAGTATATGGATTCCCCTACTTCATTATTGCCTCACCCTTTGTATTTCTGCCATGTAATTGTTTTTCTTTGTTTATTTCAGATATCATTCTTTTGCTCTTTGTTCTGCATTACAATGGCAAACTGAAGCATGCTTTGCCTTACACAGCCATGTATCCTTATTTATCAGTTTCTGTATTCTCATTAACAGTTTGGCCCTCTGTATAATTGGGATCTGCATTCATGTATTCAACCATAAAATATTAAGGGGGAAAAATCCAGAAAGCAAACCTTAATTTTGTCATTTTAATACATCATTGTATATAATGGGAACTGATCTTCCATGGATTTTGATATCCGGTGTAGGTTCTGAAACCAATACAAGCCTATACCAAGAGCCCATTTTATACAGCTGTCCTGGACATTTCTTGTGCTTTCCACCTTCTGGAATTACTGTATATACTTTAGGCTGACTCAAATATCAGCCGAGGCACCTAATTTTTCCACAAAAAACTGGGAAAACTCAAGTATAAGCCGATGCAGCAGCTACTGGTAAATTTCAAAATAAAGCGCAAACACATATTCTACCTGAAGAAAAAGTAATAATTTGGGTACTCATTCAAATAACAATGGAACCAAGTGTTTTTTTAGTACAGTAGAGTCTCGCTTATCCAACATAAACATGCCGGCAGAACATTGAATAAGCGAACATGCTGGATAATAAGGAGGGATTAAGGAAAAGCCTCTTAAACGTCACATTACGTTATGATTTTACAAATTAAGCACCAAAACATCATGTTTTACAACAAATCAACAGAAAAAGCAGTTCAATACACGGTAACGTTATGTAGCAATTACTGAATTTAGCACCAAAACATCACAATGTATTGAAACAGCTGTGGATCCGGGTGGGAGGTAGACTGCGTTGGATAATACAGAATGTTAGATGAGCAAAGGTTAGATAATCAAGACTCTACTGCATAACTGTCTAAGCTCTGTGCATTTCAGTCATGTTTTTAATATAATAATACTACTAATAATAAAACTTTATTTATAATCTGCCACCATCTCCCCAAGGGGACTCGGGGCAGCTTACATAAGGCCAAGCCCACAATACAATACATCAATATACAATAGAACACAGCATAAAATAAAATTAAAATTAAATACAAAACAGTACATTATAAATAATACATCAATAATATAATTTCACAACACTCAAGATAGTTTCCTACTGAGATACATGATTTTTAATGGGCGCTGGCTAGGCAGGGCTATCTTTGTTATTTCGGTGGAGATAGAGAAGCATTTGATACTATCCACCAAGGGTCCATCTGCATTGCCTTGCAAAGATTTAAGTTTTTTCATAGGTTTCTGGTTTAGGGATAGGCAACTGTGGAAAGGTGGCATCCAAGGATCACGCCAACACAGCTGAACTGGATGGCACATCATTCAGGATTTCATTTTTGGCCAAGATGTGTATGTGTATTCAAACCAATGTGGGACTATCCGCTGGTAGAATCATGTTCTCCAATAATTATAAGTTGAGTCTGCCTGCCAAATTTGCCACAAAAATGGAAGGCCTGGTAATTTCAGGGGTCCTTGGGAGCTGCAAAATGAGGTCCCATCAGTTGCATTTATCCAAGTGTGCAGTTTTGGGATATTACTGTAAATTCTCAAAATATTGGTATTGACAAGATTTCTTTTAAAGCTTTCACACAGCATATACTCAGGCTTTCAAGCACCATGCTTACACTGAAATATGATTACCACATTGCCCTTTGTCTGTGGTTGCTTCTGAAACTCAGCTGGAGGCCTGCAAACATCAGTGGGTTTTTCATATCATGTGACTACTTTGTGACCTTAATCATGTTGGCTGCCCATTAACTTCTGAGCCTGCTTCAAAATGCTGATAGTTATCTTTAAAGCCCTAAATAGCTTAGGACCAGGCCATCTAATAAATCCTCTCTGTCTGTATCATCTTTTCCAAACTGTGACGTCATCTGTGGATGAAGTTTTAAATGTCAGGACTGCATCTAACGTGTTTAGCTGGAACAACACGGTTCCCTCCATCATCTGTTGACTTACCCATTTCATGGAAAGTCCCATCCAGAGATCTGCATTGTTCCTTTTTAGCAGTATATTATTGCCCATTTATGATTTTTTAAAGTAATTTAGGCAGACTTTTGCTCTGCAGGTTGGATAAATGTAATGTTTCTTCCACTTCCTGAAAAGTGTTCAATTTGTAGTGATTTCATTGGTTGCTTTTGTTGTACTGATGCTTTAATATGGTGGTTCTCAGCCTGTGCATCTCCAAGTGTTTTGGCCTACAAGTCCCAGAAATCCCAGCCAGTTTACCAGCTGTTAGGATTTCTGGGAGTTGAAGGCCAAAACATCTGGGACCCACAGGTTGAGAACCACTGCTGTAGTAATTTCTTTTCCTTCATCACGCCATTCTCAAAATGCTTTAGCAGTCTGACTTTCAAATGAGAAGGGTGAGATGTAAATAACATTCATAAATAATAATCACATAGTTTAAGATTACCAAGTGTCCATCTAATGACCAACATGGTTGTGCAACTTAACCCTCATGAGTAGATTTGCATCAGGGTGGTACATGCTAACTCTGCAGAAATGGATATTGGATCTGGTTATGGTAAGTATTTGAAGGACTATGTCTCTCTGTATAATGGCTTTCATTTCGTGATTCTGGTTTCGGAGAGAAGGTCCCATTCAGTGTGTGTTGGGGGAGATTATTGACTTTAAAAGCCAGAATGTGGTTGTTCCAGTTTCATCCGTTATTCTTCACTTACCTTAAAAGCACATTGCAACGTAGTGTTGGAGAATATATCTTGAAACCTGTGTTCCTCTGACTTGGGGATGTGGAACAAGTAGTTGTACGGGTGCAGCATCAGTCATTTCTCATCATTGGCTAGGGCTGATGGGGACTGGGGTCTAACAACACCTATTGGAAACATGCTTACCATTCCTACTCTAAATTGTATATCAGCTAGATAGATTCTATGATATGGGATTTCTTAGCCTGTTTGCTCTGTGTGTCAAGCAAAAAAAAAAGGCCGGTCCTTCATGCTCAACAGATAATGGAAAAGGAAGACAGCACACATCTCAGCAACTGATGCTGGGAGGGAGCTGGGGAATTTTCCCTTTGTATCGGAGTATTTTTGGAGCCCCTGGTGGCACAGTGGGTTAAACTGCTGAGCTGCTGAACTTGCTGACCGGGGAGTGGGGTGAGCTCCTTCCAAAACATCTGGAAGACAGGCTCGTAGTCGGGGGGGGGGGGGGCTTGAGGGGCTTCAGCCCCCCCCCAAAATTCTCAGGGTGGTCCGCGAGAAGGCCTTACTGGTACATTATTTAAACTGTTATGTTTATTCATATCATGATCTGATCACCATGCTCAATATATCCCATATGCATGGGGCTATTGGGATAACGATACAAAAGGTTTGCTAGGGTAGATCCTCAGCTCCACTGAATCAAACTCAGCCCCCCCCCCTCCCCAATCAAAATCCTGGCTACAGGCCTGCTGGAAGACCAAAGATTGGAACAACTGATTAGCTGCCTAGTCCAGCAGCACCCTACTTCCACCAGGGGACTTCCTTGTAGCCAACTAGATCAGTGGTTCTCAACCTGTGGGCCCCCAGGTGTTTGGCCTACAACTCCCAGAAATCCAGCCAGTTTACCAGCTGTTAGGATTTCTGGGAGTTGAAGGCTAAAACATCTGGGGACTCAGGTTGAGACCCACTGATCGATATTGTTATTACTACTGCATTTCATTTGGTCTGCATGGTTTGGACAGGACAGCCCCTGCTTTGCTAAGTCCCCTTGCTTGTAAGTGTTCTCTCTCTCTCTCTCTCTCTCTCTCTCTCTCTCTTGGGATAAAACCATCCTGTCCTGTTCTGATTTGTATTAGTTGCCCATCACATCCAGGGCCACCTATTCTGATTGGTAGGAAGTCTCTAGGGCCTAAGTAAACATTTCTTTCAGGGCTAGTGCTGGTGATCTTTTCCAATGTCAGAGTCAGGGATCCAGTTTGGTATGTTGCATCTGACATGGAAAATACATGCTCTGATGCCTGCTCCCTGGCTTCTCTGCAGAACCTGAGCACTCTGATCAGTGCAGCAAGTAAACTGGTGCAACTACGATGTCTCTGGCAGACTAAGGATTCTGGGCAAGTGAGTGCCACCACTTGGGGCTTGGCCATCTACACCTGTGCAAGTAAGCAATCTCTCAAATTCCTCTTTTCTATCATGATTACAAAATAGTATTAAAGACTAAACTTTGATAAAATACAGACTCTTGGATGCTGCTTGTGGCATGGTCTGTAAGACGCTGCTCATTTAGAAGAGCATCCGAGTTTTAAAAACATACTTGAAGGCAGTCATTTTATCCACAGGTAGTGCTGCGTTTTATGAATTTTGAATGTTATTAAGTGATGTTTTATGTGTAAATTTTTGTTATCACTTTCCATGCTTTTGTACAGTGTATTTTATGTGTGCGGCACTTTGGAGTACTTTTGTAAGCCACCTTGAGTCCCTTCGAAAAGATGGTGGCAGGATATAAGTAAAGTTTATTATTTATTATTAAGTGATCAAAGTACAACCTTACAGCTGCTTGTCAAAACATGGCCCCAGACCGACCTCAGTTGCTCACTCCTGATTTCAATTAAAATGTATAGATATTAGGCTAATTTGTTTTAGACCCAGTCCAGAACTGAAATCAAATCATAGGTCCTCTCATGGACTTGCAGTGGAAGATAAAATAGCTCTAACATTTTTTCCCATGCTAGACAGTATTTTTATGGAGACCTGCTTGCAATTAAAGCAGAGGACAATTCTACTAAATTGCAGATAGATAGTTCATGATGGAGTTTCCTTGAATGCTGCTTTGAAAAGGCACAGTTAAAAAAAAAAACTATAGATGACTCAGTTCTCAGTTATGCCTATTTAGACTGCTTTTATTCTGACACAAACCCACTAATCCTGGAATGTGTTTGCAACACCTTTAGGGCCTTCTTAAGGTTTGGAACTGACGATCTGCACCAGGCAGCCAGTTAAAGAGTAAACATTTAGGATCCGTTTCATTTCTGGACGAAAAGGAGCGTTAACAGGCTGAATATCAAAGCAGTGAGCAGCTCAGGGCAGGTGCTTCTCAAAGTTGGCAAATGGGTACACAGCAGCAAATGGGTAGATAAGGGGGATACAGACTTAGGGAATCTGAAGATGGATCAACCAGAATATTTACTTGTTCATCTTTAGCAGCTGAATCTTTAAAGTATGCTAATCCTTTCTCTCTCAATTACAGCAAGAATATATACAACTTTGGTGACAACAAACGATGCCACAGGTAATGCTATATTACCAAGTGATTTTGTGTGTGCACATGTATATGTGTGAATTTAAAACCAGAAGTTGAAATTATTGCAGAGTCTGTGGCTAAATACTCTGGTAGTTAGTCCAAAAGCCAATATTGTAGTAGCCAGTTTTATGGTCCTAGCATATGTAATGTAATTGACATTTATATTTAAAGAGAAAACAACAGGGCAGGGGTGGGGATGGTGTAGTCCAAATAGGACTAGAGCTGTAAGCAATCTGAGCAATCATTTTATTATTACTAATGAATACTGCCTGGAAAACTGCCTGGAAATACTTGCTGAAGTTGTTGGTATTTTATTATTGCTAATTAATACTGCCTGAAAACTGCATGGAAATGCATTTTCCAATGCATGCTGTCGATAGGTTTCGAAATTGAATGCACTTTGCACAGTAGTGTTCATCACAATATATTCACCTCACCCTTAAACTAACATATACCATATTAACTGAATGTCAGTCTTGGGATTACCAGTCCAGCAAGATAAACCTGCTTCTCTGGGCCCTTCCACATAGCTATATAACCTAGAATATCAAGGCAGAAAATCCCACAATATCTGCTTTGAACTGGGTTATCTGAGTCCACACTGCCATATATTTCAGTTCAAAGCAGATAATGTGGGATTACATTGAGCTGTGTGGAAGGGGCCTGTGTGCAATTGTTTCCTTTGTCTTCATCTTGTTTGATGAAGGCACTGGATAATATTAATCTTTAATATTTTACGAGGGTTGAATAAAAAGTAATGCCTCCACCTTCGTAACTCCTCAACAGATGGCAGTACTGGTATGTGGCAGGTACTGGCTTGTTCAGTAGACTCTCCTCTACAGTTCCATTTTGGCAGGAAGCCTTAGCATTGAACGGTTGTGTTGTTAAAGTGCGAAGTATGGAACCCTCACAGACGGTCGGTCAATGCAACCTAAGCATTCTTGACAGCAGAAGGTGTCACCCCAAAGGAGATTCATCAGAGAATGCAAGCTGTTTATGGTGATTGTATTGATGTGAGTACTGTGCGTCGTTGGACGAGTAAGTTTAAAGATGTTGAGGTGGGAACATCTGACTTGCATGACAAACAAAGAGTTGGACGTCCTGTGACAGCAACCACCGAGTTTCACAAGCAAAAGGTTGACAGATTGATTCAGGACGATTGTCATATCACTCAGAGAGAAATTTCAAGCATAATCAGCATTTCACAAGAATGTGTGGGTCACATTATTGCTTTGCTTGGCTATCGGAAGATCTGTGCATGATGGGTTGCGGAAACAGTGTCGACTTCTTCCATAACGGCTTCAGAAAACTTGTTCATTGTTGGCAGAAATGTATCCCAATTGACTGGTGATTATATGAGAAAGTGAATAGTGGTAGTTAAAGAGGACATTCCAAGGACAGTATTGTCAAAGGTTTTCATGGCTAGTCACTGGGTTGTTGTAGGTTTTTTGGGCTATATGGCTATGTCCTAGAAACATTCTCTTGCCATAGATGCAGGCGAAACGTCAGGAGAGAATGCTTCTAGAACATAGCCATATAGCCTGAAAAACCTACAACAACCCACATTCTAAGGATTATTTCTGCATTTGATTTATTAAAATATTCCCATCCAAACCCAAGTAACGAAAGTGGAGGGATTACTTTTCATTCAACCCTCGTATATCTCTGAGCACAGAGATAGTGTGGCCTAGTGATTTGAGTACTAGACTAGGACTCTAAGGCCCTTTCTGCACTGCCATCTAATCCAGTTCAAAGCAGATAATCTGGATTTTATATGACAGTGTAGAAGAGGCCTAAAAGAGTAAGGTTTGAATCCCAGTTCAGCCCTTAAAATGCATGGGGTGGCCTTGGGCAAATCACAGCTCAGAGGAAGGCAATGGCAAATCTGAATAAACCTTGCCAGTAAAACTTTGGCAAGAGCATTGGGGTTGACTTAAAGGCACACAACACATCTCTTAAGCATACATTTACATTTTAACAGACAGCTTACAATAAATCTTAAAAGGGGAAAAAAAACACTAACGAAACACTTTCTCTCAAAGTTCTTATCCGTTTCATAGTCATGTTGGCTCTGAATGTGTGGGTCTTGGCCACTGTGCTGTACTACCGGAAGGCAGCTAAGAAGACGGACTAAGATCACACTCTTCCGCCTCTTTCAACTAGTGTGGACCAAAAATAATGGAGTCTAAGATTCGAGCCAAAATATCATCATTCTTCAGAACACCGACACTTCGTGCAGTAAGAAGCTTCTGATATTTTTGGAAATAAAGATGTCAGCATGAATATAGTAGCAGAGTTTCAAATTTTGATGGGATACATACCCAGCAAGACTTGCATTGTGAGAAACCTTAATTAATTGATAATATTTTCAGACTGAACTGTTTAAGAATGTATGTGTGCTTGTAACTCTACTGAGATATGTCTGGTCAGCATTTCAAGACCAGCATCTCCGGATTTTTCCATGAAACAATTCATTCTGAAGTTGTCAGTATATTTCTGAAGATTCATTTGTCGTATTCAGAGCTATTATGTTGTACCATGAAAGGATGAGTGATGCATCAACTTAGTGGATGATGGTGTTACATCTTCTTTAATAGATGTTTTCAATTATTTTCCACTTTATCTTATCTGGGAAATATATACAATTGTAAATGAACTCATAATCTAATCTTATACTGTGTATAAGCAGTAAGCACTCCTGGACTGGCGTCATAATAGAGGTGGTGTGAGAATCCCTATACTTCATTCATAAGCCTGCATTTTGATTCTACATCTGCCATGTTGTAAACTCTGTATAGATTCTCAACTGCAAATTTTGACCACACGGAGTCTTACTAGAGGGCTACTTCAGTATGTATATCAGTACGTTTTTCAGCTGTTTTTTAATTAACTTTTGTGCAAGCCATGGAAAGTAGAGGTTGTTTACATGTAACTGTGTTTCTCCAAGTGGTCACCTGTGAAATACCCATATGGTATTTCCTGCGCATGTGCAGACAGCTTCAGAATTTTCTAGAAATCTTTCAGACACTTTTAGGCAGTAGCCCCGCCTACTCTCCCCATAGTGTATATATAGCCAGTGGGAGGGGTTACTGCCGCAGCTCCTCCATCATGAGAGCAGCTAGGACTGAGGCATGATGAACAGCAGGGAGGATGTACGAATTCACAGGTGACTAGAAACATGGCTATAAGTAAGCAACCTCTACTTCTCAATCGTGGTCAACTGTGAAATTGCACATATGGTACACTAGCTGGCTACTAACCTTGGCTGGTGGGCGTCATGCCACCACAGAAAAGAGGACTGCCTTTCCAAATGCAGTGTCTCTCTTGGAGGAAGCATCCAGCTTATGAGAGACAAAAGTGAGCAGCGTGATCCAAGCTGCTGCACGGCAAACAGCATCCAATGAAATGCCACTCAGGGCTACTGTCTAAAAGTGTCTAAAAGATTTCTAGAAGATTCCAAAGCTGTCTGTGCATGCGCAGGAAATACCATATGCGCGATTTCACAGTTGACCATGATGTAGAATGGTTATGGATTTCCTGCCATGCAAATAAAAGGTTTTTCTATATTAAATACAATGTCTGTATGTGGTTTTAATTCTATGCGCCTGGGGAATATTGCTACTTTTATGTGGCAAGTTGTGCATTTCACATGGACACTGGACATTTATGTAGGGTTTTGTTGATGGCCAATAGGTATCCTTGCCAAGATTGCTTGAGGCAGTTGGGCAATTCCTAGTTGATGGGAGTGAATGCCATGTAGGGATTAGAGAATTTGTTACTGGAGATCCAAACTCAAAATACAGAATGTATTTCAGCCCTAGTTGGGCAAGCCACACATCTCCAATCTAGCTTGAACTGCTGGGAGAGTCAATTTGGAAAGCCATCTGTAAATATTCAGTTCTGAACTCGTTAAATAGCTGAAGAAGATGGTGCCTCCCAGGTGTTTTTGAGATAAGTCCCAGAGTTTTGGACCACTGACCATGTTTATGACTTACCCAAATATCTGGAGAGATTGACTACTCCTACCTTAGAAATAAATTTGAGATGAATATGACCAAAACATTTAACTTACAGGATCAGATGGAAAAGTACAGTTATCTTTTGTCAGTTAAAGGCACTGTGGGTGCAAGTATAGTTCTCTCCTAAGGCAAAAAGGAGTAAATAGTCTCCACACTCCACAAAGATCAGGTGGGAGCAATTTGTGACCCCCCCCCTTTTTTTTTTTGCAAGATCCAAAATTCCTCCTAATGACCCCTACTGTAGGATGTTGTGGGTAGACAAAAGCATTGTACTTTTCCACTGAACATATTCAGTTTTGGCAAAATACATGGTACTACAATAGAGTCTCGCTTATCCAACATGAACAGGCCAGCAGAAAGTTGGATAAGCAAAAATGTTGGATAATAAGGAGGAATTAAGGAAAAGCTTATTAAATGTCAAATTACATTATGATTTTACAAATTAAGCACCGAGACATGTTTTACAACAAATCAACAGAAAAAGCAGTTCAATACATGCTAACGTTAGGTAGTAATGTCTGTGTTTATCAATTTAGCACCAAAATATCGCAAAGTTTTGAAACAGCTGTGGATCTGGGTGGGAGGCAGACTGTATTGGATAATATAGAACGTTGGATGAGCAAAGGTTGGATAAGCGAGATTCTACTGTAGTTTCCATTTCAGAAATACAGGATAAGCACTGAACCTCTTTAACCAGCCTTCTTTGATTTAGCATCCAGCAGATATGTTGGACAGCAGCTCTCATCAAGCCCAGTATGTGGGCAATTCTGGCTAGGCAGCTTGATTGGAGAGGCCTCCAAAGTAAAGGAGCAATTAGTCTTACCTGAATCATGATCACCAGATCATGATCACCACTGTTTCTATATCTTAAACTCCGGTTATAAAGAGATACTAAGCCATGGCATCAAGGCAGGATTGTGGTATCAATCCCTGTCTGACTACACCTTCATCAAGCTTCTGCAAATGTAGTGATATGTCACATCTGTGGTTATCCCATCCAAAAAGTCTTGCTGATGGTTACTGGAATAGATTGAATTCATGAATCCACCTCCTGCCCAAGACTGTGATGACCATAAAGGATATATCAGATTCTTTTTACATTCTGGAGGTCGTAACTACGCCAGTCTTTTAGCAAGAGGTTACTTGGCTTTATTTTCACACATTAGAGCAGTGGTTCTCAACTTGTGGGTCCCCAGATGTTTTGGCCTTCAATTCCCAGAAATCCTAACAGCTGGTAAACTGGCTGGGATTCCTAGGCCAAAAAACCTGGGGACCCACAGGTTGAGAACCACTGCATTCGAGCAAGGTACCTCAAGGTCTCCACAAGTGAGGACAAAGTAATTGGTAGAGCTGCAGGTATAATACATTGCATGCAGAGGTTCCCTGAAGACCTGAAAAATACTTTAAGGATACCTCCTGTTGAGAAAAGCTGCACTACAGAGCATCGAAACACCAATAAGCCAGGTTCATGACACTATCAAAGAATATAATGTGCAAACAAAAGATCTGAATTCTTGTTAAACATGTAAGTCTACTGATGTATTTGGAATAAAGTATGCGTCTGATTGAAGTCTAAGATAGTTTTGTTTGTCCATTATGAACTTCATGGCTCAGCTTTATGGTCCATTTTTTGCATTTCTTTTCATTCTGGTCAGACCAGAGAGATCACTCTTCATTCTGTGTACCTTACTATTTTTGTCTTAACGGATTAAGACAAAGGTGGGAATCGTGTAACTCTTCAGATATAGGGTTGCTGTGTGTTTTTCGAGCTCTATGGCCATGTTCCTTTAATTTAAGATATAGTTAAAGCACAGCTCCCAGTATCCCAATGGTGTAGATAGCTGGGAGTTGCAATGCAACATTGGGAAGGCCTCCTTTAGATGAGGTTTTTCCAATATCATTCTGGCACATATTAGTAATGGTTCTGCTGACTATGAGGTTGTGTCCTTCTCTTGGGAGATAATGCAAAAATTCTAACAACTCTACAAAGACTGACTTCGTGTCTCCAAATGTTTCATGTAAAACCCTACTGGGTAATTCCCCAAGCAGTGAAAATGCAAATTTCTGCATTATATAAAAGCTTTTAAAATTCTGAATCCTAGAATGAGAATTCTATCAAAAATGTTGTATATGCGAACTTCAATTTTTTTGAAAATTAACTTGCCAACATCAAAGAATATTTTATCTTACTGAAATAGTTTATTTAAAAATATATATATATTTCTTCCAATCCAGATCTTCCCACAAATAACAATTATATAAAATATGTATGCCTTCAGTGAAAGGAAACATTTTTATTGTATACATGTTTAAACAATATGCATTTCTTAAAATATGCTGGACTCTCGCTGTGATAAATACTCTTTTGCTTCATCGTGGGCTTCCAAGATAGCTGAAAGAAGGTACATTTAAAAAATTTAAGTTATGGGTCACGTGTCCTTTTTTAGATCAGGTGTATATAAATAACATAATTGAATACAGCGTGGATAAATTACAGTGTATTGATGGGAGGGGTGCTTCCAAAGCTCTGGTCCACTGGTAGGTAACATCTGTTATCTATGACCTGCTAAAGTGAATTCTAATTCATTTCAAGGGGGTTTAATAAAAGGAGATCCCAGTGTAAAGCAAAATCAAATTCTACGCCTCAAGCTTTCCAGGCACAAAGAGGAACTGTGCAGGAATCCTGTTTGGTGAACTCTACTATGTAAGGGGAACTGCAAAGTTCACAGTCAAGATGTCAAGCAATTCCTGGTCTGCCTTCATACTCTGTTGCTATTACTAAAGAAAACACTTAGTGAAATGTCTCATGCTCTTCACTTTAAGATTTGTTAGATTTGTTTATCATGAGCACACAGTCACACAACATATATATATAGAGAGAGAGATGTGCATATATATGTATGTATACATAGAAGAAAAAAAGAAACCAAGGAGGAAGGTACAATAATGCTTTTCCTTTTTTTACTGCCATCATGTTTAACATTATAGTATATTGTAGTTGTATAAAACATGCATTCTCCGGGATAAATTATGGACATGGTATGAATGAGCGCTCACATAAATTATATTTTTATACAAAAATTACAAAATAAAATCAAATTAAGTGCCTACAAGGCCTTTTCCTCCCCTCTGTTCTCAAAACACATGCAACTTAAATCACCTTCCTAGTTCCTATATTCCTAAAGTTACGTGCTAAGAGAACAGGATTCAAAAGGAAGTTTAAAATACATCTATAGTACGTTCCTTTCTTTAAAGGGTTTGTAACAGTTCTTCAATATGTGCGATGAAAAGGTAAAAATAGTTAAAGGGCTCTTTTTTTCTTCTTCAAAAATAAAAAAACCCAGCGAAGATAGTATGCAAAAAAAAAAAAAGGCAGAATGAGGTTTCATAGCACTTAGTAAGGGCAATATAAAATTCAACAATAATGAAGTTTGTACAAAGGGCTGGATGGAAAATTATGTCTATGCGTGAAAGCTATATATTAGGTTCTAATACTACTGGTTCATTGTTTCTCAAATCAATACTAAGCTGACCCTCCCTCCCTTTCCAAACCCATTAGATATACATTCAGAGCAATCTGACATAGATATAAACTATTATTTGTAAACATAGTGCACTATATGGTTCTGCCACAAAGCAAAATTGCATTCTAAGAGCTGCATCCATTTTCTCTCTCTCTTAAATATCTAGAATGGGCACAGACTTGAAGGGAGCAAAATTAATTTAAGGCATTCAAGACTGGTAAAACAGGATTGCCCATTAAGTAGTAACTGAAGTGAGTATATACTTGGAGCTTCTCATTATACTTCGCTGCTGAGCACAGACATGCAGCTACGCAGTTATGGATGATATAAACAGTATGGCTTTATACAAGTGCATAGTTGCAACTGCAGTTCATGGTATATGAATAGTATGTATAAAAATAAAGTGGAAAGTTTTTTTTAAAACCCTCTTGCAGCATTACAGTACAATGTACATATTTACACACCAAAACACAAAACACACACAGTATAATGGTCACTTTTTAAAGATGCAGTCTTCATCAGTGTGACACACCCCTTCCCTCCCGCCACCCAAAAACCCCACCCCCTCTTCTGGCAAACTTGCTGGTGTCGTTTCTCTAAAAAAGAATAATAATAATAATAATCAGAACAGGGATAGATTCCTCATGCTTTTGCTTCCTTTTGTGAAATGTAGTGCGGGCCAGTCCAAAAGGTAGGTTTTGTGGAAGAGTTTCAGCATATCCTTGCACTATGACCAACCATTCCTCATTTGATTGGCCAACCAGCCAGGTTACATTAAGAAAATGCACACAGGATTTGTTAGTAAGCTGTATTGCAGCAAAACAAAACAAAAAAACCACACGCCTCCCTGTAAACTTCTGATATATATATTTATATATAACTGTCTTTCAGGAACATATATATATACTTTTCATAAAAGTTTGGGATATGATGTTTCAGTCTTATTTCGATAGGAAGAAAATCACCTTCAACAATGGCTGCATTCACAGAAGGCAGTTAGCTGGAAAAAAAGAAGAAGATTGGGTCAGTAAACACAATTAAATGTATCAAAAAGCAGAATTAATTCTGGGGAAATTAATGCCACTGGCAAGACAGTGGTTCTCAACCTGTGGATCCCCAGATGTTTTGGCCTTCAACTCCCAGAAATCCTAACAGCTGGTAAACTGGCTGGGATTTCTGGGAGTTGTAGGTCCAAACACCTGGGGACCCACAGGTTGAAAACCACTGACCTAAGACAAACTCCATGTCAGAAGCAGTACAAGAAAATTACTTAATTACTTAATTTTCCACCAAGCAGGAGATAGGTTGGCAAAGCAGGGCAATGTCCTTAAGTGGCTTTCTATGCCTGAACGAAGAACTCAAGTCCTTTCCTTCCGACATTGAAGCAAGTGACAGTCCATTCACTTCCAATTAGTTTAACAGGCACCAAGCAAAAATTTGTCCCTCTCTTTCCCCTGTTTCTGTGTCTAAAAATGTCCACATCTGCTTCTTCTGATCCTTCTCCAGTTATGGAAAAGCCTTGAGTTTTGTTTTGGATGGTGAGCTAGTATTTTCTTCTAAACAGACTGGTGCAGAGACACCCATTTTGTTTTTGCAAGGAATTCTACAATGACTGTTGCAACTGAGATCAATCTGCCCTGAAAGTTTGCACTGAATGCCTACTATATCCCATGGGATAGAGCAATATGATACTTGGGAAAATGGAAGGAAAAAGGAAGAGGGGCCGACTAAGGGCAAGATGGATGGATGGTATCCTTGAAGTGACTGGCTTGACTCTGAAGAAGCTGGGGGTGGTGACGGCTGACAGGGAGCTCTGGCGTGGGTTGGTCCATGAGGTCACGAAATTGGAAGCGACTGAACAAATAAACAACAACAGAGCAATATAGCAGGGGATGGCAACCCCATTAGGATCTTATGGGAAAACAATACTGATGAGAAAGTAGAGAAGAGTGTTTCATATTTAACCATTTCCATATTCATACTTGTAAATGGCATCCTTTTTAGGGCCTAGAGCAGGCTTAGGGAAACATCAGTCCTCTAGGTATTTTGGGCTTCAACTCCCACAATTCCGGCTGTTAGGAATTGTGAGAGTTGAAGTCCAAAATGACTGGAAGGCCGAAGTTTTCCCATGCCTAGCGTAGAGGCTATGTTCTCTTTGGAGAATCTGAAAGCACGCCCTTCTCTAAGGCAATGATTAGTCCTTGTGATAAAATGTGCATAAGAGAAAAAGGAATGCTCCAATGTTATAGGCATTAATCTAATGGAATAAAAACAATTGCTAAAATTTGTAATTCACTGTTTTTGCAATGCAACTTCCATCACACATGAATGGTTAGAAAAGGCACACCAATACAGAGAAAGCCAAGGCATAGCGAGATCTCACAGAACGAGCTGCAAGAATGCCATGTGCAAGTCACTAGCAAATATGAAAAGTTACACTACATTTCAAAACAGATTTATGTTGCTGCCTGCTCCCAAGCCTGCAACAACATACAAAAAACTGAACAAGTAGGTAATTTGATTTTGCTCAAATAGAGATATGCAGATCATTAGCAGCACACGACAAACTGGTGGACATCTGGATTTTTTTAAAAAAATGGTAACTTCAGGATACTTCAGGAGTCATGCATCGTCAGAAGGATTTTGAACGCTGTTTAAGTCATGAAGCTACTTTCAGGGAATTCTCAATCCACACATTTCATCTACAAGGAAAAATCCAAGCAGCATGCTTCGTTTTAAGAAAGCCAATCCACGCTCCTCTCGATACCCATTTACCTCTTCAGAACAAACACGTTATCATCATCGCTATCGTCAAGATCGTTATCGTTCCCAGCATCATCAATATTAAACTCAATATCAAAATCAATATCATCAAATGACCAATCCCAGTCTCTACATGCCATCTCAATCAATCTGAAAAATGAGGTTTTAAAGTTTGTGAGCCACGGTCCACTTTAAAGGCTTCTCAATATGACAGCTATGGTAACACACATTTTTTTCTCCTTTTGCATCGTCATTGTGACATACTGGCCATTGCCCAGAATCCTTATAGATCCTATGCTTTTCTATACCTGTCCATTAGAATAACAAACTAACAACAGTGATCCTCTTCAATGGCTATTGGCCAACGACTGGAAATAACTCGCAGTTGCAAAATAAAACAGCAAGCTACATATTTGGAAGTGTATAATTATTATGGTGTTCCGCTTTAAAAATTGTTCTAACAAAAAAGTGAAAACATGAAACAGCAGGATCAGACTAGGAAAACAGGAAAACTACATAAGAACAGCTTGCCAAAATGATTTTTTATCTGTAATCACATAAACTGAAGGATAACTCCATGAGAGCAGATTGTGGGAATAGTCTGCACAAGACTTCCCATGTCTATGTGGCCAGATTTGATATGCTCCTGAAAGAGGATGGCATCATAAACAGCCCTAACATTAAAATAGTAGTTTTAGGAGATGTTTGTACTCCACCCCAGACTTAATTTATGTATCACAGATTTTTTTCCCTCCCCATCTGCTCAGCTCCTACATCACTCTTGGTGTTGATTATACAAGTTGGAGTCATGTCCGACTCTGGGGGCTGGTGCTCATCTCCATTTCTAAGCCAAAGAGGCACCATGTCTGTACACACCTCCAAAGTCATGTGGCCAGCATGACTGCATGGAGCGCTGTTACCTTCCAGCCGAAGCAGTACCTATTGATCTACTCACATTTACATGTGATCAAACTGCTAGGTTGGTAGAAGCTGCGGCTAACAACTGGAGCTCACCCTGCTCCCTGGATTCAAACCTTTCCATCAGCAAGTTCATCAGCTCAGCCACCAGGGGGCCCATTTTCTACATTATTTCTAAAGCATTACTTTTGTGAAGAGAAATGTAATATTGGAAAAAATAAGATATTTTGTTGACAAAATATTGGTGGTTTATTTCAGAATAAAGAACAGAAAAAAATCTGTCTATATGCCTTCAGGTTAAATGTTGACTTTTGCTGATCCCATGAATTTCATCACTTTTTTTTTTTAGTCAAGCAAATCCCGGACAAGGATAGGGTTTTTCTCCCCCAGATCCTTCCTCTGAAATGGAGCTACGGGACCTGGTACTTCTTGGCCATCTCACACCCAGGTATTAACCGGCACTTTAACTTCCAAAATCAGACAGGATCTGGTGCCTTTTGGCCAAAGTAGAATATTTATGCACATTTTGTGTGCTCCACTGCTTTTAATGGAATTTAGAAATGTAGCTAAATTTCTCCAATTGGATTCAAATTTCTCATGTTCCTTTAAATAAATGAAATCAGCTTTCAGTATTTTACTATACATTTACTGTTATTTTATATGCAACAAGTGCCAAACAGGAAAAGGCATGAAATGCACAGAAATTGCCTTTCATGGCATTTGAGTCATACTCAGATTCAATCTGTCATTAAATGACAATATTGTTTTTGCTCTCCAGTTAAAGCCACATCTGTAATCTTGGTTAAAATGTAACAGTACTATAATCAATGCATTTAAATATTAAAGAAGTGTCCACTTTTAAAAACATCTATATTCTCAAGTTATTATTATGACACCAATGTCTTTAAAAATATTGTCATTTAGGCTTCATAGCCAAGCTCTCATGGTTAGTTCTCACAATTAGCGTGCTTCAACCACAGGTCCCTATTACTTACTGTTGAAATGTTAAAAAACAACACAGTACAGAAAATAAACACAATTCAGTGAAGGACAATTCGAAGGACAGGCCCAGAACTAAAAAAAATAAAATAGAATTACAACTGTCATAAAATGATAACAATCAAAAGATGGTATGTGCTATATTCACTCCAAAGGTTCATCATAAGTGAAATTTATTTATTTATTTACTATATTTCTACTCTGCTCTTCTCACCCTGGAAGGGACTCAGAGGAGCTTACAGTTATGCCAAGATTCAAAGCCGCATTATAAATACAAAAACAACAACACAATGAGTAACAAAACCAATAAAACATATAAATACAATTAAAACAAATTAAAACATAATGCCTAGTCTCATGGCCATTATTTGTGGTGCTGCGTTTGAGTCGAATTCCATAGTACACTACTCCCCGAACACCTGGTATCAGAGCCAGGTCTTTAGCTTTTTTTCTGACTATCAAGAGGGAGGGGACCAATTTGATATCACTGGAAAGGGAGTTCCATAGCTGAGGGGCCACCACTGAGAAGGCGCTGTCTCTCGTCCCCATCAGTCGCACTTGCGAGGGGGGCGGGATCGAGAGCAGGGCCTCCCTAGAAGATTTTAACACCCTGGATGGCTGATAGAGGGAGATACGTTTGGGCCAAAACTGTTTAGGGCTTTATAGGCTAAAGTCACTATTTTATGGATCTGAAATTAATTCAGATCCAGAAATCAGTATTTAGGTTTCCAAAATTTTCCACTGAAACAATAATGCCACTAGCTATCCTTTTGGAGGTAATTAATAGATGGCAGCTACTCCATCTAACAGAAGAAGGCTCAAAGAAAACTTTAACTTTATAGACTTTCAAATCAAATTGAGGATTATCATTTTAATTTTATCTATCTGTCACCAAATGCACAATGTCACACAGTTGTCACTTTTAAATTAAGAAAAGTAGCATGCTGAATTCTGGCACCTTTTAGAGCCCTCTTAATTATTTTTTCCAGGAAGGAAAAACATATTCAGGACTGAAAAGCAGTCTACATTACAGAAGATCCATGGTGAGTCTATCCCCATCTGAAATTGTAGAAGGGATATAAACAAAATAGCCACTGCCACAACCATACTCTGTTAGCAGACAAATTCCATATAGAAAATCTCTGCTACTCTATACTATTTAAGCAGCAGAAAACACCCAAGGTGATTTCTTCCTAACTCTTCCCACCATAGAGACTAAATGGCATGCTGTACAGGACCTTGTCTGATCTTCACTGTCTGTTCTGGTACAACGTGGATTATAAATCAAACAGATTCTAAATCTAGCTCTCACTTGATTTCTTGGGGCTCTGAAGAAGTCTCCTTCAAGCTCAGATAACCCTTAACTTTAAGCGGAAGACATCACAGGACGTGCTGCTAATTGACATCATTAAAACAAAGCATTCTGCTGCTTCAATGCTTCTACTAATGCAAAGCCAAAAATATAATTTTACTGCTTTGCGAAGTAAGTGGCTTGACCTGGACTTTGAATGCCCTATAACAGCTCCTCATGGTATGTATTTGACCATTTCACCCTTTTCTGCAAACATTTGCAGAACAGATTAGAGCAGATATGGGCAAACTCTGGCCCTCCAGGTGTTTTGGACTTCAACTCCCACAATTCCTAGCAGCCAATAAGCTGCTAGGAATTGTGGGAGTTGAAGTCCAAAAAACCTGGATGGCCAAAGTTTGCCCATGCCTGGATTACAGTGTCTCCTGAAAGAGAATGATTTTAGCAGCAGAAGCAACAAAATGCTCTCATGATGGATGTTTACCCTTCAGAGGCGCTCAAATATACATCTAGAAGACACTAAATGAAATTTAGAGCTACCAGAAACCTTAGCAATTTCTACCGCCCATAATAATAAGCATTTCCCATAAAACAGTGAGGAGTTTTTCATTTGTTGTTACCTTGGAGGGAAGCCTTCCTTTTTATTTGGAGGAAGCTGTTTGCTTGGCCGTCTGATAGACTGGTTTGGCTGTACCTTCATGGAAGTTCTTGGTGAAGAGCGTGCAAATGGATCTGGTGCTGGGGGTTTCTTGGGGATCCTTTTCCCCAGGCGGCTCACCCATTTCTGTTGATCCTCCATGGAATTGGCTAACAGCAGTAGGTTCTTTGCAGTCGATATATCATAATTCACTGAAACACATTAAAAAACAGTAACTTAGAACGCACATACAGAAAGTCAACTCACTGTACTTAGATGGGGGGGAAAATAACCAGACTCCTTCATTCCTGTCATGGGCACGTGTGTCCTGTCAAAGTAGGCCAACTTTAAACATGTGCTCAATCAACTTTCCCAGCAGGCATACGTTAGCATGAAACACAATCCAGCCAAACAGCAGACAAATCACAAGGCAGCTCATATAACGACTATAAGGAATATTTGGAGGGGAGGGGTTGGGCAGGGTAAGAAAGGCATAAAATTTGAGACTATCATGCTAGCAAGTCATAGAATCACAGAATCATAGAGTTCTGGACCTTGTGGGCCATCCAGTCCAACCCCATTCTGCCAAGAAGCAGGAAAATCACATTCAAAGCACCCACAACAGATGGCCATCCAGCCTCTGTTTAAAACCCTCCAAAGGAGCTTCCACCACACTCTGGGAAAGAGAGTTCCACTGTTGAACAGCTCTCACAGTCAGGAAGTTCTTCCTCATGTTCAGGTGGAATCCCCTTTCCTGTAGTTTAAAGCCTTTGGTCCGTATCCTAGTCTCCAGGGTAGCAGAAAATAAGCCTCCTCCCGTGACCTCCCCTCACATCTTGATACATGGCCCTCATCATGTCTCCTCTCAGCCTTTTCTTCTGCAGGTTAAACATGCCCAGCTCATTAAGCCGTTCCTCATAGGGCTTGTTTTCCAGGCCCTTTATCATTTTAGCCACCTTCCTCTGGATACATTCTTGTCAACATCTCCCTTCAATTGTGGTGCCCAGAATTAGACACATAATTCCAGGTGTGGTCTGACCAAGGCAGAATAGAGGGGTAGCATGACTTCCCTGGATCTAAGACACTATACACCAATTATTCCTGGCACTTCACAGGATGCAGGAATTTCACCTGAGTGGTCCAACAGGCCAACCCAAGTTAATTCTGCTGTTATCACCTAGATACCTTTGCAAGGCGCAATGATCTCTTCTTTTTTATCCATGTGATCTTTATGGCATTTGATGTGGCAGCGACGGCACTCTAGGGCAGGAGGAGGCTTAAACATGTGCCACAAGGGCTTCATACAGGCCTCACAGTTGGTTGGAAAGTGATACAGTGTAGGTATGAATTCGTGTCCCTTGTGGCAAGTATAGTTGGATTTATCTCCTGTTAATTCCGCTGGGAATTCCAGTTCCTTCTTGCTTTCCCCTTCGTTATCGTATAGGATCTGAATAATATACAAACAGAACCACATCATTCAAAGTTTTTCAAAGGAACCAAATAGAAACGTGAAACCTGAACCCCAAAATGGAAAAAAAAAGATTTTTATTCACTAAACAGTGATGCATTTCAGCCAATAAATAATATTGAGGTATTTCAAGGCAGTGCACTAATATCACTTACAGAGATGTCCACCAATCCATTTCTGGATTTCCCTTAGTGGTAGAATTGTTATATGATCTATTTGCAAATTACATTGTGGGAGCTAATGAGTGTGGTGGACCATAGTTTCCTGCTTAGTTCAGGCTTCTGTGCTTTGGATTTTTGTGCCTGTAGGTCCAAATGAAACAATTGCTTCCAATTAATAGAACATGTCAGTGGGATAAAGAGAACTGGATAAAAACACATTCAGTGTATAAACTCTCCCCACTCCCACTCCTAATGTGTAACGCTTAGGGTCTACACCAGGCATGGGCAAACTTCAGCCTTCCAGGTGTTTTGGACTTCAACTCCTATAATTCCTAACAACCTACTGGCTGTTAGGAATTGTGGGAATTGGAGTCCAAAACACCTGGAGGACCGAAATTTGCCCATGCCTGGTCTACACACGACATTCATCCAAATCAGCTCAGAAACGAAAAGAGGAATGAAACTAATACAGTTTATGAGGCTAATTTTTATTATTTAGTAATATATAGACTACTTCTAACATGTAAATTTATTTGATGTAAAGCTTGGATGCTTTGTGCAAGTCCTTTTTTGTTGGTTGAAGAGAAGGGAAATAGGTTTTCCACTATACAATAGAATAGTGAAGGTCCAGAAAAGAACTGGAAAAATACAGGGGGAAATAGTTCCCTGTACTCCCGCATTTTTCTAAGGACTTTAAAAAATAATTTCTAATGGAAAAAGTGGTGCAATGAAGAAAAAAACCCCACATTTTTTAGCACTTTGTGTCCTTCTGTGCCTTAAATTATGTTCTTTGGGACTAGAGGACCTTCTGGAGCAGACATAGGAGGAAATTCCATAGTGAGACACCCCCCTCTCCATGCACCACAAAAAGACCTCTGTGGAATTCATACCCAAATCCAGGGAAAAGTGGCCTCTCAAGAAATTTGCTCAGACCTCCATGATGATCCTATGGTATGCTCCCTTTCTATGTCCCTCCAACACAAGTCTATGGTATGCTGGGGCTGGAAGTCAGATAACACTGTAACAAAATTTCTGTTCCTGGTTTGAAAGTGTTATTTCCTATTTTCCTGTCGTAGTTAACTGTGAATCGCACATTGTGGTATTCCTGCGCCCACGCAGGCCAGCATCGGA